TTTTTTTTTCACATTCAGGATCTGAGGATTATTTCCCCACAAAGCGATTCCCCATCTCCCTGTGCTCAGCTACTTGACCGTCTCTGCAAGTGGCTGGTTGCTCCTGTGTTGCTGACTAAAACTGAATAGACAGCTGACCCTTCAGTCTCACAAGCTGTGGTCTGTTTGTCAGATAGTCTTTGATCCAGAAGATTGTTGCTGCCTCAACCTGAGGCTTCTGGAGTCTCTGACAAAGTAAATCAGGCTGAATCGTGTTGAATGCACTGAAGAATAATAAAAAGCTGGATTCAAACAGTGCTGTCTACCATGTTTAAATGAATGGTTTAGTTGAAGCAGGCAAATTATGGCTTCTTTAGATCCTACTCCATGATGGTAGGCAAATTGTAGAGGATTCTGGTAGCTCCTAGTTCTGATTGTTGCTCATGTAGACCAAAGGGAGTCTCTCTGGGACATTCATGATATAGGATGTCAGGGAAATTGGTCTATAGTCATTTGACGGCTGTTGGTAGAGTTTTCTTTGGTACCAAAACAAGGCAGGAGGTCTTCCACATCACTAGAACCATTTCATGGCTCAGGCTAAGGTTTAGGAGAAGCTGCAAAATCCCACAGAGATCCTTCAGGACTCTGGGGCTGACTTATTATGATTAAGTCTCTCCAGGATCCATCTCCTTATTTTTACTGAAAACAAATGCAGAGAAGCAGTGGGGTCCATGGTAGAGGTGGAAGATTAGACATTTCAGGTGTGAGGAAAGGAAAAGGAAAGGAAAGCAAGATGTGTGTTGGCAGGAAAGAAGGATGCAGGTAGTGTAACACATTTCTGGGAACACATAGAAGCGTAGTGATTAGTTTACATTCTAGCATTAAGTAAAGAGGAGAAAGGTATATAAACAGCAACAGGTGGGAATAATTAGTGGCGACAGTTCGATCTAATTATGTGCTAACGGTGGCTGAGAAGTCACTAAAGAAAAGAAAATGCAACATGGAGTGAGACTAATTAATCAAAAACTGAAACAGAACAAAAATCAAAGACACAGAGACAGAGAAATATAAAAAAAAATCTATATAAAAAAGAAGATTTCATCCACAAAGGGAGGAACTGGAGTTTTTCCAACAAGGCAAATCTGCATCAATCTAGCATAGCTACTCCAATGTGCAGCCAACCTGAGAACTGTAATTCTAGAATAATTTCCCATGAAGCAAAAACCGCCCATCTAACCAAACAGATGCAAAACATATTGCAAAAGAAGCTGAAATACCCCAGATGGCACCAAACTGGTAAATGTAGAACAAAACATTAAATACAATACATAAAAAAGGCACAAAAAATGAGAAGTAACATCATTAATGTAAAAAAGAACAATAATAGCTAAAATATTAAAAAAATTGACAAAGAAGCTTTATTAAATGTTAAGATACAAAATCCAATAAATAACTAAATAATAAAGCAGAAAAAAGAACTAAGTATACACTAATTTATGCAATAAACAACATTGAAAAAATAAAAAACATTAAATTCACCTAACTAAAATTAAAGTTATTCTCCAAGATTAGTTGCTGTTTATTCTTAAATCTTTAACTATTTAAAGATCAAATTAAAAGACAACCCAGACACACAACCACCACCTAAGAACAAAAGTTGTACTTTAATGTCCTATGAAGCGTTTTCACTCTTTCTGCTACCAATACAGCAGCTTAAAGCTTTAGATTTTTTAAAAATGTGCTATCAGAGGAGCTAATAGTTCTTGAGAGCTCATATAATGAAAAACATGTTGGATAAATCAGATCTGTTCGGCTTACAAAGAGCTTTGTAAAGAAGTACAACCAAAGAAGGAAACAGGTAGGGTAGAAACTTTTAAATTGGTGTGTGAGGTATTTGCCCTTTTATGTTTGTTTGTTTTTTTGGTCAGATTCTAGTATTTTAGTTTTTAAGCATCAGCACAACATCATTAGGTCTGTAACTTCACGGCAACCCTGCTTTAAAGTCAACATACTGATGCATTTTACTTCCTTCAGGCAAGAGTACAGGCCATGGACAGGGGTGAAACCAGCCAGAAGTGCAAGGAGAAATCCAGCCACTCAATACTCCAGCCCAGGGACAGAGGCCACCCATATCCCACGTGAGACCAGCTACCAGGCAGCCTACAGCGGAGAGGTCAGCAGGTCCATGAGCGGGCACAAGGCTGAGCTCATCCCCCCATCTGCTGCCTCCATCATCCAGCCTCCCTCCGTCACTCAGCACAGCTCAGCTGCCCCGCGGGTCGGCAGGTCCTTGAACCCCCAAGGCCTTCAGCAAAGCATCCTACATGAGAGCACCGAGCACAGTGGAATAACCAAGAGAGAGGCAAGCACCTTTTTAGTTTTTAAACTAGATGGTTTCAAAGAAATTCATCAAACAGGGGAAAACTGCAGCACCCTCTTACTGAATGTCACCTGCACTTATCTCCTTCGCTGCTTTGTGCTGCTGGGGCATCTGAGTAAAGTGATACAGCATTCTGTCCCAAAGCAGCTCAAAGTGACCCAGCTGTTTAAAACAGGCCGTGTGCTGTGTTAGGTAACACTGCTGGTGCTATACTCATCACTTTGACCTGAATAGAACAGAGATGATGGGAAAGGACTTCTAAATGAGGTCCAGCTCAGCTGCAAAATAAGATCCCCTCACTGTCAATGAATCCACAAATGGTGCCCAGGTAAGCAGAAACACACCATATAAAATCACGCACATCTGATAATTCATTGTAATTACAACTCCAATATCCTAGATTATTTCATCTTTAGTCTTGTGCATCAGTGTTTGATAGAACTTTCAAATTATTATTTTTTGGTTAGTGCAAAAATGGCTAAACTTCAAAAAGTCTTGTCAAACTGGGGAGTGAGTCATAACCTAGTTTCTATCTCTGAAGCTTTTAAGTTATATGTGTAGTATATATTGTGCAATCACAACGCACTTTTTGCATGGAGCAAAAGGTCTTTGTAAGGTGAATTAAGGTTACGCTCACAATTTTTTTCACAGGAGCTAGTGCTTGTTGTATCATAGTTTGAAAATACCACGTACAAAAGCTTTTTACAACCTTTTAGATGTGTAGAAACAAATGTTATCATAACTTTCAATATTTTAAGTGGGATTTTATGTGACAGTTATTGTATAGCCACCATTAGCTTGATACTCAGATTTGAAATTAGGTCAAACCTGCTGTTAAAGAGCTCCAAAGAATGCTGCACCATTGATGCACTATGGAGTGACAGTGATATTACACACCCTTCATCCAAGCAGCTTTGAGATTTTGCAAACATAACTGCCCCTAACAAGCTTAATACATAATTTAAATCTCTGCTGTCAATTTAATCTTTTCTTTCGCATATTTTTTGCATTTTTTTATGCAAAATGATGCATGCACCTTTTACACGGTTTCTCAACACCCAACTTAGTGAAAATGTCTTTCATTCAAAGCACACATTTTTGATACTTTTTTTGTTTTGTTTTGTTTTTTACCTTTGATGTACAAACTTTTATTTTGCATGCCCGATATGGAGAAAAAAAAATATTGTTCTATTCTATTATAAACTACTGTTTAAAGATACAGCAGGATATTTTGTTGACTGGATAATCACTAGTCATGCATGAAGAAAGTCTTTCCTAAAATTAAACTACAGTAATTCCATGTTTCTGTAAAGATAGCAGGTGCAGCCTTGGAGGGAGATATGGAAACAGGAAGGGGTTGGAAATGAAACACATACTAAATTCAAACGGTCTGGCTCCTTTTCTGCTGCCCCTTGCATGTTTTCGCAGCTGATAATATTTCGTGACAGTTTGTTAGGCGGTTTATGGGAATCTCCAGAGGTTTAGTGCCATCCCTCTTGCCCACCCACAGCGCTCAGCTCCATCTGCCAGCATGGAGAATGTTCACTCTGACCTGGACCAGGTCAGGTAGTCTACCAGTCTGTGTAGCAACATCTGCTCTACTAAGCTGCAGGGTATTAAGAAACAGGAAGCTAGAATATACCGGTATGTTTTCTCTCTGTTGTGTCCTCTGGGTTTGTCCTCACATTGCCAGCTCTCATCTGCTTGTTAAAAAAAAAAAGCAGGATTAATCCACGGGAGTGAATTAAGACCTCCTTCTGCCTATTTGGATGATTTTTCTAAGCCGTGGCTGCTCTGTTAAACCATTTTTGCCACTGGGTGTCCTGTGTGATGAGCGTGGAGGTCAAAGTTAGAGATGTCAATGACAGGACAGCAACTCTAAAAATAATTCTGACCCAGTTTGAGTGAGGGCCCACAGCTTGTACAGTGAAGGAGGTTTTGCTGCTGGCAGTGTGTAGGAAGCATGCAATAAGGATTTTTCCGTACAAGCATGTGAGTATTCATTCGTCTGACGAACCCTTCCAAAAAAAAAACTGGCCTGGTGGCAAATGAAGTTGATCTCATGATAATCCACATCAGCCCACTCAGGGCCAACTCATTACTGACTCACCAACCCCCTGCAGAGGTGTCTGACCGGGCTTTACACATCCCACTCCAGCATGCCTTACACTCTGGCAGCATTGGTCCATGGTGGTTCTCCAGCTTGCATGGTGTTCTATTAAATGATGGCTTTTCCAAGCTTTGGCAGAGCCTCTGCATTTCAAGTGGTCGAACTGACTGTTACTTTCTAAATTTGACTCAGTGAGATGACAGAGGTGGGCAGGTGAACTGATCCCACTGTTCCTCAAATCAGCATCCAGACCAAAGAGATTATTTCTGAAATCATATAAGATTTTAAAAAATGCTGTGAAATCAACTTGAGATTCTTTAAATAATGAAAAAGTTTTTTTAATTGATTAACAAAATAGCAAAAGACCTCAAAGCAAGAGGCTGTTGCAAGAAAAAAAAACAAAAAAAAAAACGTTTAACCCACCAAGACTGAGCTTTTAGAGTCCCTGAACACAACACGTTATAATGCAATGATCTCAGATGCACAGTTAGATTGATGATGGAAACAATCGTTTTAAACCGCACAAAGAGGATTACATGGCCTGCTGGGACAATGCATTCTGAAAGCCACCTCCTTTCACCCACTTCTTTATTTTGCTCCATTGCCAGAAGTGGGGGTGGTGTGGAGGCGGCACAGGGCCTGTGCTGGTATTGATTTTCTGCTACAGGCAAATACGCTTTACAAAATCATTTGTGATTAGAAGGTAAAGTAATAAACAAATCAAACAAAGAAAACGGAAGCATAGTCAAAGCATGCTTGTAGTATTTTTTTTTTATTCTGCTTTTTTTATGTTCATTTTTGTTTCTGCAGCTCACATCAAACAAATTTCTATTAATTTCAATTTAAATTTAATTCAGCTTATTTATTTAAAGCGCTTACAACTAATAACTCAGAATGCGGTAAAATGTTTACCAATATAGACATGTTAGACATCATTGGAAAGCTTAGATTCTCCGCAATTCAACCACCAAGTTTTTTATGGACACAGTGAGCACCAAAGCACAATTAACACTGATATAGCAGCATGTCAAAATGTAAACATGACAAAGCAGCCACAACAAGCAAGCATGTCTTTATTACTGCTGTTCAAAAAAGACCTAATATTTTCGAGGATAAAAAAAAACAGCTTTTAGTCATGTTTGAACTGATGCAGCTTGGATTCTGTTTTACTCAATTTTCATTAATATATTCAGAAACTAGAATGTGTTAGCTTTTTAAATACTATATCACACATGTAATTTGGGCTTAAAGTTCCTAAGTTATTTACTTTTCCGGGGATGCAAAATAGGAGAGAATTTCCCAAAATGAGGTGGATGTTAAGAGGCTAAGGAAAACCGGCTTATTGCATCGACCCCTCAATAATATTACCAGGCATTGCATGAACAAAAAGTGTTCAAATAAAATCCTTTATTTGTACTTAAAAGTTTTGAAATATGTATTTTTTTCAGCCCATTTGCAGAGGAAAAGAAATGTTATCAAAAAATATAAATAGTTTTTAAAACATCCCAATACTGGTACTCCTACCGATGTATTTAAATAAATGTAAAAAAAAAAAAAAAAAAAAGCTCTGCAACTTTCTGTTTCTCTGGAGTATAAATATGAGGCACAGGGGCCATCCACTGTATGCATGCAACTCATATTTAGCATGCATAAATGAAAACACAAACACCAAGTCACCAGGTCTCCATAACAACTATTAAACACTTCCAGTATTATGGTTGCTGAGGAAGTATGCAAGAAAAATAAACCTACTGTTAAGAACAGTAAAGGATCCATTATGCTGTGAGGAAAGTGTAAAGAGTACATGACATTCTGACATGGATGATTATCACTTTTCTCTTTATATAAACAAAGATCATGGTAACAAATACTCTTCAAAATATGATACAGCATCTCTAATAAACAGCTTAAAATCAGACAGTGTGGGGATTGTTACTTTAGCTGTTTTAACCGTTTTATTGCAATGTTTGTCTCAGGAGAGAATTCACAAATAGGTAGCACTGTTCAGCAGAACAGCACTGTTTATTTGCACATAGGTAGGAGTTTGTCTTTTTTGGCCTTGATCTGTAGGAGTGAGGTGAGGTATGCAATGACTAATCTATAGTTTAAGACTGTGATGCCTTTTCAAACGTTTCAAATCATCTTTACTTTCAAATCTATCAAAATAAATGGAGTAATATATGATTAAATGTCCACTGCGTGTCCCTTATGGGCAGAACTAGTCAACTGACAATAGCTTGGTGAGTCCTGCAGGGTAGCGGCTCTTTCAACAGAGAAATATAGATCATCTGACACAGACAAGTAAATGTAGTCAAATTAAAGGGGGACATTATGCTACCTAAGTGAAAGACGCATTTATTTTAAGACTGTTTCCACATTTTTACCAGGGGTGCCAAGGGATGTTGCGAACATATGGTTCTAAGAACATTTCTGTAGGTGAGGTGCCTGGATGATTCAACGTTAAAAGGAGAGAAAACACTGTCAGTTTGCTGAGAAGAGTCACAGCTGAGATACTGTGTGAAGTGAAGGCGTTCTGCTGGCAAAACAAACTCTCACAAAATGACATAGCAGAAAAAGGGAAGGCAAAACACAGTCCTTTTTTGACTGTGGCCAAGTTATTATCCTCATTCCCTGGATTTTTACTTCCTGTTGGTCTCATCTACCTCTATTCTTTCACTTGGACCTCATCCCCATTCCCACGCTACCGGGACCACAGAGGGAAAGCTTGGTGCCAAGTTGGCAGGACTCAAAGCAGCATTGTGTTAAGATGGGGGTGAGGGAGGGAGAGATGGGGAAAATATAAGGTGAGAGGTTTGAGATCCATCATACGAATGATAAGTGGCAGCAAGCATGAAGAGGGAGGAGAGAGAACTGGGTGCATCATCTGATGGATTATCTGTTAAAGTGCAATGTTGCGTCGGGTTGCAGTCTTGTTCAGCACCAATCTAATTTAGGAGAGAGGCAGCGCTCACGCTGCACAGAGCAGAAAAGACTGAATGTGCGTGTGTGTTTGTTGGGGGGGGATGTAAAAAGCGTTTCAACAATCCAGCTTACTGAACGAATACAGCTTTCTCTGCAGCAGCCCACAGTGCTTAGAAGTACCACCCAATAAAATGCTCAAATGACATGCATACCTTATTATTTTCCTTTTTTTATTATTTACTCAAAAAGCTACAAAGGCACATTTTCATCTGCAGCTTGATAGGAGTACAAATGCAACCGAATTCAACTTGATTTAGAGTACATGTTCAGTCACACCTAATATTCAATATGCAAACTACACAAAAATAAATGGAAGCCCGTTTCTGCCACATGGAAATAAAAAATGCCAAACAGAAAGTCATAATTATGAGATACAACATTTGAAAGTTCAATATCTTATGATTATGACTGAAGGGGAGAAATTATGACTTTGAATCTCATAATTTTGACTTTTTAACTCATAATTAAGACTTTCTATTTGGCATTTTTTTAAACTTTCTTAAGGCAGAAACAGGCTTCCATAAAAACACATTATTGGCTGAGTGATAATTTTAAAGTTTGGGCTACTCATAAATTCTTCTTGTTTCAAAAAACTTCCTAAAGATGTAAAAATAATTAGAAATAATTTGTCAAACAATGATGCCCAGGAGATAATTAAGGGACATGAGATTAGAGGTTATTCTGACCAGATTTAGAGTCATATAAAGGCAGCTGCTGTTGAAATGTTTAAATATGTGTGAAAAGTTAGATTTAAGATGTTTGCATCAATGATGCAGGAGCATCTGTAGAGAAAGATTCTTTTTAATGGTTCATTCAGCTGAGGGTAGCAACTCTAAGATGGAAACAGTAACACAATCATGTCTGCTGGAGCTCAGACGCAGACCTGATGCTGTGTGACGGCACTGTCCAGGGAGTCTCTTTTCATTTCATGGAATCAGTCAGAGCACCATGGCTGCCGCTGACATCCATCTCTCTGTCTCCTTCTTTCACGCAGGAGCATCTGGTGAGGACCAAACTGCCCCCGAACCCTTCTGCGGTCTTTCAAAGCGGATCAAGGGTCTTCAACATCTGACAGCTGCTTCGACTCTCCTCCAACTCCACTTTGTTCACATTAAGTAATCCAGACGGGAATGTTTCAAGCCCATTCCACAACACAAGAATCTATGCAAGGGAATGTTGTTGTTGTGAACGCTGTTGAGCAGCAGCTTATTATCCCAGGTGGAGATTTGAACCACATCTTTTGATACTACTCTAGACTTCCTGCTCCTATAAATGAAACGCATGTCACAGAATAGCTTAGATACACTTTTCCTTTTTGTGTTTGTTTTATTTCGGTTATATACACAGAAACTGGCTGCTCTGTATGTTTGTGTTTGTGTGCCTGCTCTCTTATCTTCAACGCACAAACTGTTGAATCTGCAACAATAATCCAAGACATGATTTGTCAGAAAGTGTGTTTGCTTGTAATGCTATGCTGCGCTTTGGTGTCATTAGAAATCTGCCTGAAAACAATTTATTACCTTTACATTATGTTCACCTTTAAAGAAGATATTGTTTAGTCCATTTTGGGATAATATCTAAATAAAGAAAAAGAGCAGTTAAATGAGGTAAGATGTTGAATAACAATAAAAAATATATTCACTAGGCCTGGTGCGTGTCTTTACTCAGCTGCTGGTTCCAGATTAGAGTTCAAATCTACACATTTTCTTTTAATGGATATAAAAAATACTTTATGACAGGTTCTAATCATATGCAAAGAGGCCAACACAATTTAAGTAAATCAGTTAAATCATCAGATTATAAAAGCTTTGGGTCAATCATGAAAAACAAAGTTAGGGATTTTCAGATCTTAAAGACGATTAACATTAAAACTATCATACAGAGTTGGTTTTATATATATAAATATATTTATAATTTTTTTTTTAACAAAAATTAAACTTTTCTGAACTACATTTTTATTTATTCAAAGCTTCTTTTACTGACCACATTTAAAAGGATTTACTAAACTGTGATAAAATGAAAGTATTACCGAGGCACTCTCGGTATTTCATTGGTTACCTAGGTAACCGTGAGTTCCTCAAAATGTAGATCAGCTCTTAAGACGCCTCGAGTCAGAATCTCATTGTAGCTTTGTTTCCTGTTCACTTATGCAGACTTCACACCATCATCCCACTGTGGACATTTAAAGCTCCAAATTATTTAGAGAATCATTCTGACGATCTCTTTTTCAGTTCATACCGAAACTCTGCTTAGATTGACACACAGCTCATCCATACAAGCATGTAGATCAATGAACTTTTTAATCTCCAAGATTTTAAGAAAGATTTTACTCTGTTTATTATAAGAATATTGATCATATTTTTGGTTTGCACAAAAAAAAAAATACAAAACAGGGTTTCAGTATTTTGTACAATGGTTTCATTCGGTTAAACAGGCCAATCAGCTTACGTTTCCTTTCACTCAAAGCTCAACAGCACACACGCTCATGTTTATTAAATGACAAACACTTAATACTCACCAAATAATTTCATTTACTCTAAGAAGAACACGCATACTCAGTTGTTTAGGTACAAATAAATATTTTCATGGTAAACAGAAAAAAACTAAACATTTAAATACTATTTGAATGCATCCTAATACACGTACTGGTTATGCACACCATTCCCCATATAGAAACCATTTTGCTGCTTATTTCAGGTCTGTATTTCCACTATCTGCTCACTCTGCTGAAGCTTTGAAGGTTAAAAACGTCACTTACACTGGACAACCAAAAATTAACAAATGTCAGTGGTGAGTACTGGTGAGTATCATACATAGCATGATGGATATGACAACAGTTCCAACTATTGTGAATGATAACCACTAGCTCACAATGAAAATCATTCAACTAGTGTCAAATGTCAGACAAAAACAAGTTTTATGAAGAAAAAAAAAAGTCAGCAAACTTGTATTTTACCGTTGCATTATAATTATTTCTGCTGGCTGGGTAACACTGAAAGACATTAAAAGGATAAAGGGTATGGGTGATGATGATCACTCGTTGCCATAGCAGCAACACCTTTGGGAGAACCTCTTGTTGGATATAAAGTACCCAGAGAGAGAACACCCAGATTATCATTAGCGTTCTTAATATGCTGTAAATCACAGCTTCCTCCAGCTAAAAGAAAAACAAAAACAGAAATCCAATGCATCAAACCCAAAGAGACTGCAGGGAGGACAGTTTCTAGCTCCATAATTCACACAGGGTTTATTTCCCCTACGAGCACCTCTCTGGTATGAACACTTCATCACTGAAATAATGTTGTTATGAGGTATGAGAGAAGAACAGCTACACTGAATTAAATAACACAGACATCATGATGTGGCTTCTTTCCAACAGAAATAAAAGGCGACCACACAAAGTATTAAAAAGGTTTGTCACTCAGCAGCTCTGGAGCAAGCTGAGCCCTTCACTCATTGAGTTCATGAATTCAGCTGTTGCTGCGCCTTCTGAGCCAATGGGACCGACTATGGACGCATTTATTCACGTCAAGAGAAGCGTCTCTTCCTTATGGCTCCCCGTCCGTTTAACACGTCCGCTTCTACTCAAAGTCAGATTCTGTTTGGCCTCAGGTGTCCTTAGTCAGGCAACCCATGTGTGCATTTGTGAGGAAGTCACAGGTTGGGATGCTACTGACGGCTTGGTGGATGTTCATGGCTGTGATCTCCCTTGGTGCTCTGAAACCCAAACAGGTCCATGTTAGGATCTTACGTAAAACTCAGAACTCCACAAAACCGGAGGACCTACAAACATCATGCTGGATACCGAGCTTTGATCAATTAGGTTTATATTGTGGTGAAAAAACTGACGTAACTTTCTGCAATCTAGGACCGATATGATAATTAATCTCTAAAGACAGCAGAACCAAACCAGCACTAACTCCATGTAGCAAAGATTCCCAATACTATTTTGTTTCATGATTATAAACAAGTACATAGGAGAAAAAACAAAAAATAATCACAACAGACTGGTGGCCTGGATAAGCTGCAGATATGATAAATTAAGTGAAAAATGGAGCACTCCTAAGCAACAAAAACAGCTGACCTGTTTGGAGGAGATTTAGCGTAGGCACCAGCCAGAGCTTCTCTCAGGATATCGCTGGCAAACTGCTCTGTAGCCTGAAAAACACAGAGTCACAAGATAAAAGGAAACCTGGGAAGAGTACGTGGAAAATCGCTCAAAGTGTGTGTAGAGCTGTGAAGAAGCATTGTGCCCTCTTTGGGCTAAATGTAAAATCAGCAATCAATCAATCCATCCATCAACCCGCCCACCCACCCGATTCAAACATGTTTGATTGTTGGCAACCTGATTATCTGGACCTCTCAGAAGAGAAGGATTAGGGCAGAAATCACCGTGACAATCTTGCCGTGTGAATGCTGCACAATCCATCAGAGTGATGGTGGGCTGATCTCCAGCAGTCTATCGCAAAAAGTGGGCTACACCCTGATGGGTTACCATTCCACCACAGGACAACACATAGGTAGACATGCAAACAAGCACACACCCCAAGTAAGAATTGCAGATTAACTCAAGCGTCACATTTTTTTTTGGACTTCAGGGAAACATGCAAACTCCATGCAGAAAAGACACTAAACCAATAATCTTCTTGCTGCAAGGCAACAATGCAACAAACTGAAATAATGTGAGTCAATATGAACAGGGCTTTAAAATGATGATCTGAACTTTATTGGGAAGAAATAATCCTAATCAGCCTAGATGGCCCTTTATTTCTAATTAAAGATAACCTGTGAGATGCCCTTAAAGAAGCAAAACTTTATGTGTAATCTGAATAAATTTACTAACAGATGACAAATTTAGTGATATCTATCAGTTGAGCTTTTTGAAAGTTAATCTGCAGCTTTGCAGTAAAGAACATCTCTTGACAGTCAAACACTGTGGTGGTATGTTGGTCTTGGTTTGCTTAGTTCTTTTATAACCTGAACAACTTTTCAACAATATTGGAGCCTGTATGGTTTCTACATGAAAATCCTGAGGGAGTACGCTGGGCGCACCAGGAGAACGCTGGGCGCACCAGGAGAACGCTGGGCGCACCAGGAGAACGCTAGCTGCACCATTAGGTTCACCAGCTTGGACATAACGCTGTGCCTTCTACCTTCTAAATGTTTTCATGAAGTGCTGTCAAACTGTTTCCAGAACGTTTAAAAAGAAGCAGGCACTGACCTTTAAAATCATTGCTTCGATTACTGGAGCAAACACATTCTTCTCCACTTCTACTGGTTGAAATGTTACGCCAACCTGAAAGAAACAAAAAGGTCATAGCAAAGCTCCCCCAACAAACAAACAAACATAAATCAGTAACTTTCAGAAGCTCTGAGAGGGGCTCCAAACCTGCTGAGCTGTTTCACTGATAAACTGAGAGGACATGCAGGGACCGAGGAAAAACTTGGGCTCCACGTCAGTTTCCTGCTCCTCTTCCTTGACCTTCAGCTTCTGGCAGGGAGGAGTCACTGTGACAATGTCGACTATTTCATCATCTTCCTCCTCAGGTTCAGTCTTCAGCAGGGCTTGCATCTGTTCCAACCGCAGAACCAGCTCCTCATAGTTGCTGAGGGTCGATGGGCACTCTGGAGAGTTTTTTGGGTTGTAAACGAGAAGCTTTTCATTTCAATTCAGCAATATGATAATAAGAAAAACATCCTATTTAAAAGAAAGTGAGAAACGGAACAAAAGGATGATTATCATGGGATCTGGCCAGGCTATGACTCACTGAGCTAAGCAGCACCGTCTCTCACCTTTCAGAGACAAAAGACTGGATAAATAAGGTCTGTCTCCGTATCAACAGAGTTGGCGTCACAGAGTCCACCTTCACACTCAACAGACCAGAATTCATATTACTTTATCAAGTGCTAACTGCAGAAGCATTCATTACACCTACGCATTAAACACTGAGCAGGAAACAATTGTTCACTGAAAACAATAGAATCCAAAGATCTGCCCCTCCCCCCTTTGAATTTAAAGAAAGTATTTGGGAAGCGCTGCTTAGAAACAACAAAATGTCAAACATAGGCAGAAGCCTACCAGGTTCGTTATCGATTTGTGTGAGGATGTCCTCGATGGACTCATCATCCTTCCTGAGTTGGGGCTCAGGGTCAGGTGGAGTGAAGCCCCTTTGTCGGCACCACTGGACAACCTCTTTGGTCTTTGGGGGTGTAAGGGCCTGTAGCCGAGGTGAGCGATCCAGGACGTCCTGGACAACCCGTTTCACTGCAACTGCACGCTGAAGCTACGGAGAAACAAACTAAATTATATCAGTAAAATAATTTGCCTTGCTCTACTTATGCTTTTAGATTTTCTCTTATTAAGTTAGAAACTGTCAGTACAGTGTTCTATCTTTTTTATACCTCTACCATTCTGTTATTTTTATACACTTCTTAAGGTCCCCATTTGTGTGATCGCTTTTGCTGTAATGCTTTTGCTGCTGTAACACCACAATTTCCCTATTAAGGAACAAGAAAGGGATTTTTTATTCTATCCTATAATTGATTGCTCAGATGTTTGGTTTAACTTTGTACCTTAAAAACTGTAACAAGTAACATATTTTAGATCACAAGCTTCCACTGTTGTCGGAGGTTCCCCAGGGTTCCCCTATTCTTTTAAGTTTTTTTCATCTTTAAATTTGTGGTCACATTTTTAGGTAATAGGGCAATTCCATTTGTGCAGTAATGATAAAGCCCTCTACGTATCTTCAAAGCCTAACCCCACTTCCACCTGCAATTGCATAGATTCCTATACAGGAAACCAATTTGCTTTGGATAAATCTCATAGATTTCTTCTTTATGCTGACGACTTCCTATTCTTCCTTTTCTCGTTAGGAGCTTCCATGTCATCTTAAGCTTTGAAAATCGCATAAAAAATATAAAATTTGTTTAACTTAGTTTACATGGAAGCCAGTCAATAGCAGTAACTAACACCTCTTTTCTTGTTTAGTCTGATTACTGCAAAAGACATTCACCTGTGTAGCTCCAGACCTCCTTTTATTGATCATATTACTGCAGACAAACAACTTCAATGACTTCTCTCTAAACTTCAGCTCACTTTCAAATCTCTTCTTAACTTTAATCTCCAAGTCTCCTTGATCTCAGACGCACCATCACTCCTCCAGTTCTCTCACTGCACCATCTGCTTACTTGTTTAACTATCAACCCTTCGAAATTCTCTTTTTTCTCTTCAAGTTGCTTTTAATGTCTGATGTAGATTTTTCTTTATATCTTGTTGATTTCTTAATGTTGTAAATGGCAAGTTTCTAGATACTGTGTTTTTTTTTTTTTTTACATTGTAATTGCTTGATGGGGGCCATAGGGGTTGCTTAAATCACATATGTTATTAAAACAGATAAGCCCAATAAAAAACAAAACAAATGGTATAGTCTGTAATTAACTTTTCACTAAGTATAAGTTTATTGCAATCCATATAAATAAGAAATTAGCTGTACATATCCATGTTTGGGTTTGTCCTATAAATGAAACTTAGAGCAATGAGTTAAAACAGGCTAGTTGTTTAAGCTATTGATAAACTTGTTATAAAGGGACAAGATGACGAGGCAAAGATACAAATCTGACCTGACAGAAAGATGAGACAAGCGTAAAGCTCACTACGACACAAAACAGCCCAAAGGCAGATTATAATCAAACTCATATCAACTTGGAAACGATAAATTAAGCTTTGTTAACAGACGCTCTTTTCCCACTTAGGTGCAGGTGAAATATGAAGCTAATCAAACTTGATCTAAACATCTTCTAATTCAAAGTGTGGCCACATGGTAACTGAGCAATTACACAGACAGACACAAAAAACAGACTAACTGTAGCTTGACCATATAATAATTAATAAAGTCTGTTATATATTTTTTTTTGTTACCTCTGATGCTCTGCGTTTTCCAATATTCCAAGAATAATACTGTTCTACTGAAGAAGCACAGAATGGATGGGAATCCTCAGCTAAACAGAGACAGAGATTTTAAAACATACCGTGGGAAAAGTGCACAAGAACAATTAACTGGGTGTTAAAAATGACCAATGAAGGTGAAGCTACTTACTCTTATCTGGTACAATTAGAGGGAACTTCTTGACCACAGCAGTTAGCAGCTGCATCATCGTTTCTATGTGTTCAGTGCTGAGGGAAGAGGCAATCGTTATGGTTTACTACCACAACATTTAATGCATTTGCATTATTACACATTCATTACCAACACATTATACCTCTACATCTTTATCAGTCATATTTCCCGTCGTAAAGATTCAGTGTTAAAGAATGTTTTATTATAATTATGAACCTATTGGTCACAGGTTTTGATTAGAGATGGAGTCAAGGCAGGTTAATCCAAGACTTTCTAAAAATATTTCCTGGCTCTATTTGTTTTTACGTTTACATCTTTTATTGTCATTTTGTATACACAGAGTGCAAACAGAACGAAATTTCGTTTTGTACAGCTCTCATGACATTTCGATTTCTTAAAGTGAAGAAGTGAGCACCATTACCTCAGTTAATGCAAAAATTAATGGAACAACGGTTATCTAATCTACCAAATTATTTCTTGCTATTAAAGGGATAGTTCGGGATTTTTGACATGAATCTGTATGGCATCCCCATCACCAGTGTCATGCAATCACACTGACTTACCCCTGACAGCATCCTGTGAGCAGAGTTCTCGTCCAGTTTTGGTCAAGCC